TTTCCTTCCACACATCTATAAAATCATGCTGAACAATAACACTTTTTAAGAAAGAAGCTGATACAGAATCTGTTTCCTGATTATTTCTGTCTAAAAGAAAATTAAGAGAACAATTCCAATCATCACCAATAACTAAGAATTCATCCAAGGTAAAACTTTTTAAGATGTCTCCCAACTTTCTGAATAAAATAGTTCTGTCTATACCTCTATTTGGAGCATAAATATTTATGAAAACAAATACTTGATTATTAATTTCAGCTTTCACAAGCAAAACGAATTTTCTTGAATTCTATATTTTTGATAAAATATTGACATCAAGATAAGCTGAAAATAAAATAGCTACCCCTGCACTGATATTTGTGCAGTGTCTTAAACACATTTTTCCTTCCCACCACAAATTCCACTCAGATTAATTTTTTGAGTCACTATGAGTTTCTTGCAAAAATATTAAATGATTATATGAGTTTCTTGCAAAAATATTAAATGATTATCTTTGAGAAATTCAGATAGTAAGGCTCGTTTTCCTCCATCCCTCAGCCCATTAACATTTAAAGATCCTACTCTTAGAATCTGCATTATAGGGGAAAGTAAGAGGAAAGATAAAGGGAAAAACAAACAAACCAAAAATAGAAATAGATCCCACACCCATGTGTTTTTATTTTTTCCGTTTTAACATTTTTGCTTGATCAATTTGAGCTTTACGTACAGCCGTCATAAATTTTTTCAGCCTAAATCTTTTTTGTTTCGAAATCACATCTTAACCAACAGTCTTCTGAGCAATCATTACTGATTTGACAAATTTGTTACCATCAGGGAAGTATTTTAAAACGTCAACTTTTTTCCCTTTAGTTTGATCCAGAAATTAATTTATTTCTTCCACAGAATAAATGTCATTCATCGACTGACTGCAATCAAATTCAGAAACCTCCGAGCAACTATCACATTCCTCCATCTGTGCCTCATCACTTTCTTCATCCAATAGCAAAGCAGATTGTAAACCACTACCACTAGTGACCTCATCACTAGTACCATGTTCACTGTCATTTTCAGAATCAACTACAGCTTTCAAAACAATTGGGCCTACTTTGTTTTCACCATCTTGTTTAGGTAAATTAAAAGCACTCATCTCTGATTTCACACTGTTCTGAAACGCTTTGCTCGGATGAAGATTTAACCTGGGTTGTTTCATTGGATTGAGAAACTTCACAAATAGAATCAGATGCTTCCATATCTTCTCCTTGAGTTTCCTGCCTCTTTTGTTTTTTGGATGGAATCGTCATTTCTTTTACAATTACAGGTCTTTTTTTTCCTTATCAGAGATTTCAGTGTTCTCTGTTCGATCTACGTGCTCCTCATTATTTCCGTCATTCACTTCACTTTCTGTCTGCTTTTTATGTGGTCAAGTAAATCTATTATGCCCTAAATCTACGCATTCAAAACAACGCATAGTATCTGTTGTTGTAAAGATTATGTACGAGCTATCTCCGTGTTGTAAGTGAAAATTAATTTTTTTAGAAGGAGCATTTAAAAACATGAAAACTTGTCTTCGAAAAGACAGCACATGTTTCAATGCAGCGTTTTTACAACCAAGTGGAACCACTTTGACAGAACTAGTGAACTTACCAAATTGATTAAGTTCTTTGGTAATTTCTTCATTAGAAATGAAAGGAGGAATGTTTGAAATCTTAACTTTAATAGCAGGTGCACGCAGCGGCCTTATTCATTCTGGAGGCTGAGACTATTTTTTCGTGTCCAACAATCTCTCCCATAGCTAGTAGAACCTCTTCTACCATAAACCCTTGATCCGAAAAAACCTTACATCCATTCTTGATAGAGAAAACAATAGGTTACTATTCGTAACCCTGGTTCTCTGAAACATTGAGTGGAGAGATCCACCTATGGAAGGGCATCTGCGCCTGACCTCTGCAGAAGCATCCAATTGCACCAAGTCTGGCTTGACAGACAGGAGTGCGTGCCCAGTGGCAGTTAAGGGACCTCCCCTTCACCGAGCACATAAAGTCCCAGCACGCGCTACCTTTCCTCAGTGAGCATATTCGCTTCTCGTGCAGCAAGCGGGGCAAACTTGGTGGATCTCTCCACTCTATGTTTCAGAGAACCGGGGTTACGAACAGTAACCTATTGTTCTCTTTCATCATCTCTTGTTCGAGATCCACCTATGGGAGATATGGACAGCTCCCCGGTTGCCCAGTACAATCACAGCGAGGCCCTGTAAGCCAGAGGACGGTCACCTGGTAGGCGGTGCTTGACACGTCACCAAGTATTTGAACCCTCACAAAGTGAGAATGCAATACTAGGGGTTGACCGATATGTGTTTTTCAGGGCCGATGCCGATACCGATTATTACAGATCAAGTAGACCGATAACCGATATTTTGAACCGATATATATGTCTGGTGTAAAAATGAAAATGTATGTCAAAATTAAGAATAACAAGGGCTCTGACAAAAACTGCCTTCCCTGGTGTTGGTTGAGTGTAGTACTCCCACAGTAAACTCTTTATTTTAATGAGTTAAACTCTTTATTTTTTGGCAAACAAAGGGTTTACCATTAAAATGAAAACATGGAAGAAATAGCGTATTGTGTGATTATTCTTTTAAACAAAAGTTGTAATAATTGTTGTAGTAGTCAGGGGTTAAAGCAAAAAAAAAAAAAATCTTTTGACTGAAAATTTTTCCTCGGCCAAACCCCATTCCTCAGCCATACCTGTCACACACCCAGTTTAAGAGCAGTGTTTTTCTTCTTGTAATCAAGAGCGCTTGTCCTCCTAATTAAAAAAAATTAAGGAGCACCTTCTGATCAATAATCAAAAATTCTGATCAAAAATTAGCCTTCCTAATATGAGGTGAAGTGATTTACAGGGGCATTTTCTTTTTACCTTTGCAATGGCATCATTTTCATCTGTAAAATAAAAAAAAATTATGTTTATAAGCTTTTGAACATTTCTATTTAAAACAATATAAGTAGAATAAGACAAATAAGTTACCAATCATGAAATTAGTATTAATGAAAAATTAATTTGTACTACAGAGGTGGCACAAAAAGAACACAAAAGTGACTTGTAGGTACATTTTCAGACATTCAATGAGGCTCAGAGGTGGCATGAGTGCAATTAAATTCATAAATT